GTGTGTGTGTGTGTGTGTTTCTTTGTGAAGGCAGTGGCTTGTACTATGATCCTAAGGTATTGTCCCCTAGTTTTTTCAGTCAAGGATAACACTCTACCACTTGAACCATACTCTCACTGCCAGTTTTTGGCTGGTTAATCAGAGATAAGACTCTCACAGAATCTTTCCTACCCTCGCTGGATTTGAACTGCAATGATCAGATCTTAGCCTCCTGAGTAGCCTGGGCGCTGTCCCTCAGCTCTTCAGCTCAAGGCGAGTGCTCTACCACTTGAGCCACAGCGCCACTTCCGACTTTTTTTTTCTGCTTATGTGGTGCTAAGGAATCGAACCCAGGGCCTCAGGCATGCAAGGCAAGCGGTCTACCACTGAGCCACCTTCCCAGCCCAGGACAAGAAAACTTCTAAGACACTAAGTTCTCTAGCAAAGCACAGGAAATATGGTCCAATACTCATTCCTTCAGCAAAAACCAAGCAAGGAGTTTAGACTTGCAATCTCTCTTCTCTTTTTTTTTTGGGGGTGGGGGCAGTCCTGGGGCTTGAGCTCAGGACCTGGACTCTGTCCCACCAGTTAAACCACTTTGGCTTTTTCTGTTTATGTGGTACTGAGGAATCGAACCCAGGGCTTCATGCGTGCTAGGCAAGTACTCTATCACTAAACCATCTTCCCAGCCCAAGACTTGCACTCTAATAAGGTTGTAATGCGGCATACAACCTGCTGTAGAGGTTGAATTGGTTTAGGCCTACTAGGACTTTCATCCCTAAGAGTTGGAAGCCAGCATTTTCCTACCCTGTGATATCAGTGGAGACGCCAGCCCTCACTCCCTCACCCAGCAGTAAAAGTGCCCCACCCTCATGTGTCAACATGGAGAACCTAGATCTCTTCCACCACCTAACAGTATTGAGACCACATCCTTTTCTTTCCTGCTTCCATACTGTCAGAGAAACAGGAAGTTTAAATAAAGTACAGAGTTCAACAGAATATGCAAATATTTGGGTTTAAATGGAAATATCACTAGTTTTTTTTTTTTTTTTTGGTCAATCATTGGGCTTGAACTCTGGGCCTGGGCGCTGTCCCTGAGCTCTTTAGCTTAAGGCCAGCCCTCTACCACTTGAGCCACAGCGCTACTTCTGGTTTTCTGGTATGAATTGGATATAAGAGTCCCATGGCCTTTCCTGCCTGGGCTGGCTTTGAATTGTGATCCTCAGTTCTCAGCCTCCTGAGCAGCTATGATTACAGGCCTGAGCCACCAGTGCCCAGCTCACTGGTTAGTATTATCCCCACCTTGGGTCCTCAGCTTCACCTAACCTGAGCTCCTCCCTGCCCTAGAGTTCCTGCCATATAGCTGGCCATTCCCTCTCTCCACCCACATCTCCCTTGCATACACTTACTTCTGCCCTCACTTCCTCCTCCAGACCTACCTTCCACCTGGATAAGGGCAGACTCCATGCTCTCTCTCTCCCGGGGAGATATGGCCCCTCTAATAAGCCTTACAATAATCTTTCTCCTGTGCCTGCCTGCCTTTGTGTGGTCCCCTGGGATGGTCGTGAAGGATTCTAATATCACTTATACTCAAAACCAGGAAGATTTCAAACTGAACAATGAAAAAAGACAAGCAATGGAAACACTATGCAGAGAAGAACCAAGCTAGGTGCCAGTGGCTCCAACCTATGAGAAAAGGCTCTTTTCTTTTTTTTTTTAGCTGGTCTTAGGGCTTGCACTCTGAGCCTAGGCACTGTCCCTGAGCTGCTTTTTTTTTTGGGGGGGGGTCGGTCATGGGGCTTGAACTCTGGGCTTGGGCGCTGTCCCTGCGCTCTTCAGCTCAAGGCGAGCGCTCTACTCCTTGAGCCACAGCACCATTTCTGGTTTTCTAGTGGTTTCAGTGCCCTGGCTGACTTTGAACCGAGATCCTCAGATCTCAGCCTCCTGAGTAAACTAGGATTACAGGTGTGAGCCACCGGCGCACGGCTTGACCCTGAGTTTCTTTAGCTCTACTACTTGAGCCAAGGGTCACTTCCAACCTATTCTATGATTAATTGGAGATAAGAATCTCATGGACTTTCCTGCCCCCGTTGGCTTTGAATTGCAATCTTCAGATCTCAACCTCCTGAGTAGCTAGGATTACAGGCATGAGCCATGAGCACCAGGCTAAAAACTTCTTTTCTATCAAAATAGGTTGTTTAAAAGTTCCTGCTTTGGCCTGGTGGTTAGGCTCTTGTGGCTTATTTTCTTAAGCCAGTATCTGCAAATAAGGAAGGGAAAGAGGAAATGCTTTGTGATAAAGAAGAGTTTTTGAAATGTAACATTTTTGTCTTAACTGGTTGTTTCAACATGGCAGAAGAATTAAGACATGTCTCAAGTTGTTCAAGAAAGTAACATCTGTACTTTGCTGGCTCCTACCTATAATCCTAGCTACTGAGGAGGCTGAGATCTGAGGATCATGGTTCAAAGGCAGCCAGCTCAGGCAGGAAAGTCCATGAGATTATTATCTCCAATGAACCACCTGAAAACCAGAAGTGGCGCTGTAGCTAGAGTGGTAGAGCACTTGCTTGGAGGTGAAGAGCTCAGGGACAGCGCCCAGGCCCAGAGCCAAAGCCCCACAATTGATAAAACAAAAAAACATACACCCTCTGCTACTTTCTTTTTCTTTTCTTTCTTTTTTTTTTTTTTTTGTTGGTCTTGGGGCTTGAACTCTGGGCTTGGGAGCTGTCCCTGAGCTCTTCAGCTCAAGGCCAGTGCTCTACCACTTGAGCCACAGAGCCACTTCCGGTTTTCTGGTGGTTCATTGGAGATAAGAGTCTCACTGTCTTTCGTGCATGGGCTGGCTTTGAACCACCATGTTCTTCAGATCTCAGCCTCCTGAGTAGCTAGGATTACAGACATGAGCCACCAGGGCCCAGCTATACTGCTACTCTTATCTCAAATGCTTTTTCTTTTTGTCAGAGATAGGGCTTGAACTCAGGACCTGGGGAGCTGTCCTTGAGTCCCCCCCACCCCTGCTCAAGGCTAGTGCTCTACCACCTTGAGCCATAGGTCTACTTCCAGTTTTACAGTAGTTAATTAGAGATAAGGGTCTCTTGGACTTTCCTTCCTGGGCTGGCTTCCAACCTCAATCCTCAGGTCAGCCTCCTGAGTAGTTAGGATTACAGGTGTCAGCCACCAGCGCTGGTTCTCAAAGACTTTTAATAAATGCATCCTACCCTTTACAAACTAGCCAATCATGAGCAGATTATGAACCTGAGCTCAGCCAATATGAGCAGAGAGGCAGGGCCTGTTGTGTTAGGGATCAGAAGGGGGCTGCCTAATTGTTCTGTGTGCTTGCTTGTCAGATTTTTGGCTGACGGTCACCCTTCACAGAAGTAAACTTTGCCTTGCTGAGTCCCTTTCAAGATGGTTTCCTTATTTCTAAACAATACCCTAACATCCTGAGCTGTTTCTAACATGCCTGTAAATATTAGCTACTCAGGAGGCTAAGATCTCAAGCATCAAAGTTCAAAGCCATCCTAGACAGGCAAGTCCAGGAGATGCTTATATACAATTAACCAGAAAAAAGATAGAAGTGGAGCTGTGGATCAAGAGGCAGAGCACTAGCCTTGAGCAAAAATAAAAACAAAGAGGCTGGGAATGTGGCTTAGTGGTAGAGTGCTTGCCTAGCATGCATGAAGCCCTAGGTTCGACTCCTCAGTACCACATAAACAGAAAAAAAAAAAGGCCAAAAGTGGCATGGTGGCTCAAGTGGTAGAGTGCTAGCCTTGAGAAAAAAAGCTCAGGGACAGTGCCCAGGCCCTGAGTTCAAGCCCTAGGACTGGCAATCAATCAATCAATCAAAATTAAAACCAAGTGCCTATATTCCTAACTATTCAGGAAGTTGACATGTGAAGATCATAGTTTGAAGCTAGCCCAGGCAGGAAAGTCCATGAGACTCTTACCACAATAAACTACTGAGAAAAAGCCAGAAGTCATGTGGTTCATATGGTAGAGTAGCTAGCATCCAGGCCTAGAGTTCAAGCCCCAGGACCAGCAAAAACAAAAACAAAATCAACGTTAAGAATGCAACTACTATTCTGCCTAGCAACCATATTATTAGGCAATTACCTCAGAAAAAAATGACATTCTCTTACATAAATCTCTGAATATTTATAACATCTTTATTCATAATAACTCAAACTAAAAAGAACACAGATGTCCTTCAAACAATAAATGGTTAAAATGCAGTAAATCCAAGCCACAAATACAACTCAGCAGGAAAACAAAAATGAATGAACTATTCATATATGCATCAATCGGAATGAAATCTCCAGAAAATTAGGCTGTTAAAAAAAAAAAAAAACAATCTGAAAGTTTCCACATTGGAGTCTGGGTCCTTTCTCTGAGCTTTTTGACTCAAGGTTAGCTCTCTACTACTTTGAGCCACAGCTCCACTTTTGGTTTTCTGATGCTTCATTGGAAATAAGAGTCTTAGGCACTTTCCTGCCCTGGCTGGCTTTGAACTGTGATCCTCAGATCTCAGCCTCCTGAGTAGTTAGGATCACAGGCATGAAGCTATCAGCACCTAGTCATTTAAATATTCTTGAAATGGCAAAGTTGTAGAATGGAATATATTGCAAGGTATTAGGATTTGAGACAATTGCTAGGGATATGCCAAACTCAGGCAAGAGCAGCCTCCCACACCTCTGATGAAACATGACACACCTTTTAGTTTACAGAGTAATTAATGGATAGATCTGGGCTGATGCCTCATGTGATAGTTTGTTAATTTGCTACACTATTACACACACACACACACACACACACACACACACACACACACACACAATTTATTTATTTATTTGCCAGTACTGGGGTTTGAACTCAGGGTCTGGGGCACTGTCCCTGAGCTTCTTTGGCTCAAGGCAAGCAGTCTACCACTTGAGCCACAGCACCACTTCTGGCCTTTTCTGTTTATGTGGTACTGAGGAATTGAACCCAAAGCTTTGTGATGCTAGCTAGCCAAGCACTCTACCACTAAGCCACATTTCCAGCCCACTATGATATTTCTTGATTCTATTGCTATTGCTTCTGTGTTCCTGAAACCCTTGTTTTGTACAACACTAACTAACCTAAAGCCAGTATTAAGGGTTGAAAGCCCATTAAAATACACACAAAATTCTATACTGAATAGAAAAAGCTTGCTTCCTCTTCCCAATCCCACCCTTACCTGTAATAAGCACTTGATTCGTTCTCCAGGGGTCATGATTCCTGTGGTGAACACACCAGATAACATTCCAGCTGCAAACAGCTGGGGATAGCTGCATGAAAAAAAAAACACACACACATATACACAAAAACAAATATTGTGATTATCCACCAAGGAGAGAGGTAACTCCAGCAGAGATGATTTTAGACTTGGATTGAAAAGAAATATAGGGCTGGGAAGGTGGTTCAGTGGTAGAGTACTTGGCTTACATGCATGAGGCCCTGGGTCCGATTCCTCAGCATCACATAAACAGAAAAAGCCAGATGTGATGCTGTGGCTCAAATGGTAGAGCACTAGCCTTGAGCTGAAGAGCTAGGGGACAGCACCCAGGCCCAGGCCCCATGACCAACAAAAAATAAATAAATAAATGAGAAACATTAGAGCAAGACATGGTTTTTTACCCTTGAGCCTGCTGTATTCCATCATTATGAACAAGTTGTTAGCCTTGTTTATCTGCAGAATGCTAGGTTACTGGGGGAAAGCCAGTAACCTAAGATCTTGAATGAGTTCCCCTCCAATCTAACTTCTCTTGCCCTACCATGGGCCTGAGAACATTCTCAGCCAAGACTCAAGCAGGACAGCTTCAAGGTCAGCCATCTCTATGGGCAGAGGCTGGTTGCCACTTGCAAGGACTATGCCTTATAATGCTGAGAAAAAGCCAGACACCAGTGGCTCACATGTGTAAATCCTAGATACTCAGGAGGCTGAGATCTGAGTAGTGTGATTCAAAGCTAGCCTAGCAGGAAATCCTGTGAAACTTTTTTTTTTGCCAGTCCTGGGTCTTGATACAGAGCCTGGGCACTGTTCCTGAGCTTCTTTTGCTTAAGGCTAACACGCTACCACTTGAGCCTTGGTGCCACTTCTAGCTTTTTCTACTGATGTGGTACTGAGGAATCAAACCCAGGGTTCAAGCACTCTACCACTAAGCCACATTCCCAGCCCCTGTATTCATTATTTCAATCAGATCCCCATGACTTAGCAAATAGAGTTGACAAACCTCACAAACTGGTTTGGATGTGTGAGGACTCTGAAAACTAAGTCTTCAAGCCAGACTCATCCAAAAGGAGTCCAATATACAAAGGTCAAAGTTGCCAAATGGATGTATGGAATGTCGTCATTGTTTCTTTGCTTTAGATAGAACACCAGGATTTTTGTTTTGTTTTTGTGACTTAAACTCAGGGCCTAGAGAATGTCCTTGAGCTTATTTGGCTCAAGGCCTAGCATTCTACCACTTGAACCATGGTACCAATTCCAGCATTTCTTTTTTTTTTTTGGGGGGGGGTCAGTCATAGGTCTTGAACTAAGGGTGTTGTCCCTGAGCTCTTTTGCTCAAGGCTACTGGTCTAGCACTTATGAGTCCCAGTGCCACTTCTGGTGGTAATTTGGGGATAAGAGTCTCATGGACTTTCCTGCCTGGGTTGGCTTTGAACAACGATCTTCAGATCTCAGTCTCTGGAGTAGCTAGGATTATAGGCATGGGCCACTGGTGCCTGGCCAGAGAACACCAGTTTTGTGGTTTTTTTTTTTTTTTTTGGCCAGTGCTGGGGCTTGAACTCAGTGCCTGGGCACTATCACTGAGCTGCTTCTGTTCAAGGTTAGAACTTGAACCACAGTGCTACTTCTGGCTTTTTCTGTGTATGTGGTACTGAGGAATTGAGCCCAGGGCTTCATGCATGCTGAGCAAGCACTCTACCACTAAGCCACAATCTCAGCCCCCCCTGCACTCTTCCCAAGGAGGGAACACTAGCTATCTCAGTTATTTTTTTTTTTTTTGGGTCCGGTCATGGGGCCTGAACTCTGGGCCTGGGCGCTGTCCCTCAGCTCTTCAGCTCAAGGCGAGCACTCTACCACTTGAGCCACAGTGCCACTTCCGGGCTTTTTTCTTTTTGCTTATGTGGTGCTGAGGAATCGAACCCAGGGCCTCGAGCATGCAAGGCAAGCGCTCTACCACTGAGCCACCTTCCCAGCCCCGCTATCTCAGTTATATAGGCTGACTATTAAATAATCAAGACATTTGATTTCATACACAGCCAGCTTCACACTGCTTATCCCCAAAAGAAGTCTTCTCAACAACTGAATTGAGCCCTATGAAACCAATAAGTGCTCTTCTTGCCAGGATGTCTAACCTTAGGTTGGGCACATTTAAAGTTCTGGGACTGGAGATTTTTTTTTGGGGGGGGAGGGTCAGTTGTGGAGCTTCAACTCAGGGCCTGGGTGCTGTCCCTGAGTCTCTTTGTGCTCAAGAGTAGCACTCAATGACTTGAATCACAGCACCACTTCTGTGTTGTTGTTGTTGTTATTTTTTTTTTTCCAGTCTTGGGGCCTGAACTCTAGGCCTGGGCACTGTCCCTCAGCTCTTCAGCACAAGGCTAATGCTCTACCACTTGAGCCACAGCACCACTTCCAGCTTTTTCTGCTTATGTGATGCCGAGGAATCGAACTCAGGGCCTCATGCATGCAAGGCAAGCACTCTACCACTGAGCCACCTTCACAGCCCCTACTTCTGGTTTTTGAGTGGTTAATTGAACTGTGATCCTCAGATCTCAGCCTTTTGAATAGCTACGATAACAGGCGTGAGCCACCAGCACTGAGCACTAGAGACTTTTTTTTTGGAATGTGTACCATATACCATCCTATTCTACTGCTCTTCACCCCCATTTTTGGGTGGTTTCTCTGGGTGTTCTGAAGGAAACTAAGATACTTTTCCCTTTTTTTGGTGCTGGTCCTGGGGCTTGAGCTCCATTTGCTCAAGTCTACCACTTGAGCCATAGCATAATTTCTGGCTTTTTCTGTATATGGTACTGAGGAATCAAACCCAGGGCTTCATGCATGCTAGACAAGCACTCTACCACTGTGCCACATTCCCAGCCCCAAGTAAGATACTTCTTTCATGTGAAACTCAGCTCTGGGGGCCAAAGGCACTTTTACTGCCAGTTTGTCAATGTTATTTCCCTTTAACTATGTCATAACACCAAAGAGAACCGCACTGGGTGCCCCAGGCCGATGAATACTCACTTGAGCACATCTTCTGGGGATTTCTGCTGTAGTCTCTTCCCCAAACCAAACCCAAAGAAGCACACAGCAAACATGGGGGTGACCCCAATGATGGGTGCAGCCATACCCCGGTAGAGTCCTGTGATGCCCTATAAGAAACCATAAAAGCAGAATCTGTATACAACCACCACCACCATTAATAGTGTGTGTGTGTGTGTGTGTTTATTTTGTGTGTGTGTGTGTGTGCGTGCGCGCGCTGGTGCTTCTAGGGCTTGAACTCAAGGCCTGGGCACTGTCCCTGAGCCTTTTTTCTCAAGGCTAGCAGTCTACTTCTAGCAGAGCTTCACTTCTAGCTTTGTTGGTGATTAATTGGAAATAAAAAGGCTCAGGGACTTGACTGCCCAGAGTGGTTTCGAACCATGATCCTCAGATCTCAGATTAGGATTGAACTCATGGGCTTAAGGAAAATCAGGCTTTAGCTTCCTAAGAAACTAGGGCTACAAACATGTGTCACTGTACCCATTTTAAGAAGTGGGAAGCCGGGTGCCGGTGGCTCATGCCTGTAATCCCAACTACTCAGGCGGCTGAGATCTGAAGATCTCAGTTCAAAGCCAGCCTGGGCAGGAAAGTCTGTGAGATTCTGATCTCTAATCAACCACCAGAAAACCAGAAGTGCCACTGTGGCTCAAGCAGTAGAGCACTCGCCTTGAGCTGAAGAGCACAGGGACAGTGCCTAAGCCCAGAGTTCAAGCCTCATGACCAACAAAAACAAAAACAAAAAGAAGAATTGGTCTTATAGCCGGGCACTGGTGGCTCATGCTTGTAATCCTAGCTACTCAGGAGGCTGAGATCTGAGGATCATAGTTCAAAGCCAGCCCAGGCAGGAAAAGTCTATGAGACTCTTATCTCCAATTAACCACCAGAAAACTGCAAGTGGCACTGTGGTTCAAAGTGGTAGAGCTCTTGCTTTGAGCTGAAGAGCTGAGGGAGAGCGTCCAGGCCCAGAGTTCAAGCCCCATGACCAACCAAAAAAAAAAAGAAGAAGAAAAAAAGGATTGGCTCAAGTGGTAGAGCACTTGCCTAGCACAGCAGAGTCTCGGGATTCCATCCTCAGTACTAAAACAAATAAACAAATCAGTAGCTAGAATTATCAAACTCTAGGACAGATAGCGATAGAAAGATACAGGGTAGCAGTGAGTACCCTGTAGAAAAGCTAAAACCCCAGCAGATTTACACAAAATTGTCATATCCCTTGGGAGTAAGCATATTAAATAAAACCCCTGAATATGGTCCTTTGAGTAAGATTCAATAGATACAATACCTCTATTTTTTTTCTTTTGCCAGTCCTGGGGCTTGAACTCAGGACCTGGGCACTGTCCCTGAACTTCTTTTGCTCAAAATGAACACTCTATTACTTCTTGCTCCACAGCGCCACTTCCAGCTTTTTCTGTTTATGTGGTACTGAGGAATTGAGCTTCATGCATACTAGGCAAGCAGTCTACTACTAAGCCACATTCCCAGCCCCTAGATACCATACCTCTTTTATAAGAGTCTTTCGGAAACAGTCAAAGGTGCCAGAGTACATGGGAGGCTGTCCAGGTAAACTTGGTGGTTGTGTCTGCAGCCGGACCTGAAACCAGAAAGAAGTTAAAATGAATCAGCTTATAGACTCAGAACTGCTAGTAACAGTCCATCTGTCGGTCAAATTAAATGGGAAATTTTGTACCTTTAAGCTTATAGATTCAGACTTAGCTCACTGGTACTGGTACTTCATTCCTTTTTTTTAATTGATAAATAATATCCCTTTGTACACTATATTTTGTATATCTATGTATCAGTTGATCATGATCACATGGTGATTTCAGGAGGAACTGAATCAGTAGAAAATATGTATCTTTGGGCTGGGAATGTGGCTCAGTGGTAGAGTGCTTGCCTTGCATGCATGAGGCTCTGGGTTCAAGCCAGGACTGGTTTAAAAAAAAAAAATCAGCTCATGGGAAGTATGGAAGATGAGAAATCCCAAGAACTGCAGTCAGCAATCTAGAAGACCATAAAAGAGCTAAGTTCAGTTTAAGGCACACAAAAAAGAGACTGATATTTTAGTTTTAACAGGAAGGTAGGACAAGTTCCCTTATAAGTCTAAGGAATGTCAGCCTTTGCTTCTATACCAGTCTATACAGGTCCAATAGGTTTTAGGTAAGCTTCCACTGATTCAAATATTTGACATATAAAGCTAAGTCTAAATGGCAACTAAAATGTCAATTCTAAACTGCTTGTTTTGAAAGTCCTGGGGCTTGAACCTCTGGAACTGGGCACAGTCCAGAGGTTCTTTTGCTCAAGGCAAGTGCTCTACTACTTGAGCCACAGCACCACTTCTGGATTTTGTTTTTCTTTTGAATAGTGTACTGTAGATAAGAGTCTCATGGAGTTTCCTGCCTGGCCTGGCTCAGAATGGCAATCCTTAGATCTAAGCCCCATGAGTAGCTAGGATTACAGGCAGGAGCCATGGGCACCTGGTTGAATATTGTTTCATGTGCTCATTTTTTTTTTTCCTGTTGGTCATGGGGCTTGGGCACTGTCCCTGTGCTCTTCAGCTCAAGCATTTCCGGTTTTCTAGTGGCTTTTATTGGAAAGTCTCAGGGACTTTCCTGCCTGGGCTGGCTTTGAACCATGATCCTCAGATCTCAGCCTCCTGAGAAGCTAGGATTTTAGGTATGAACCACAGCACCTGGCTCATGTGCTCATTTGTATTTTCCTCCTCCTCCTCCCTCTTCTTCTTCTTTTTGTTGGTTGTGGGGCCTGGGAGCTGTCTCTCAGCTCTTTAGTTCAAGACTAGGGCTCTACCACTTGAGCCACAGTGCCTCTTCTGGCTATTTCTGTTTATGTGGTGCTGAGGAATCGAACCCAGGGCCTCATGCATGGGAGGCAAGCACTCTACCACTGAGCCACCTTCCCAACCCTTGTATTTTTTTTATATCTTCTAGATGCCAGTTAATTTATTAAATATAATCTCATGCAAGATTCTGAACCAGATCATACATTCAAGGTGTTTCCTAAAACTTGACTCAAAAAGATTGTGAGAATAAAAAAAAAAAAAAAGATTGTGAGAGTTAATGAATGTTTCTTGTTTTAACCCACCAAGACTTAGGGAAAATTGTTATATTGTAATTGATAACTGATCTGAAGTTTTTTCTTCTACAATATTTTCCTGGATGTATTTCCTGCATCCTGTTCTTCAGCTTCAAATCTTTCTGAAGATTGCTATTATACTAATTTTTCCAAAACACCTTTTTCAATACATTGTTCCTTTATTTTCTGGTCCTGGGGCTTGAACTCAGCGCTTGGGTACTGTCCCTTAACCTTTTTGCTCAATGTTAGGGCTCGACCATTAGAGCCACATCTCCACGTCTGGCTTTTTGGTGATAAATTGGATATAAAGGGTTTTGTGGAGCTTGGTGTCCAGCCTGGCTTTGAACCTTGATCCTCATATCTCAGTGTCCCGGATAGCTAGGATTACAGGTATAAGCCACTGGTACCTGGCTCTGTCTGAGACTTTATTTTTTTTGGGTCTGGTCGTGGGGCCTCAACTCTGGGCCTGGGCACTGTCCCTTAGCTCTTCAGCTCAAGGCTAGCACTCTACCACTTGAGTGACAACGTCACTTCTGGCTTTTTTCTTTTTACTTATGTGGTGCTGAGGAATCGAACCGAGGGCCTCAGGCATGCAAGGCAAGCTCTCTACTACTGAGCCACCTTCCCAGCCCCTCTGTCTGATGATGATGATGATGATGATGATTTTGTCAGTCATGGGGCCTGAACTCTGGGCCTGGGCACTGTCCCTCAGCTCTTCAGCTCAAGGCTAGCCCTCTATCACTTGCGCCACAGTGCCACTTCCGACTTTTTCTGCTTATATGGTACTGAGGAATTGAACTCAGAGCCTCATGAATGCAAGGCAAGCATTCTACCACTGAGCCACCTTTCCAGCCCATGTTTGATTATTTTTTGAGACAGAGTTTTACTATGCAGCTGATGTTGGCCTCAAACTCATGATCTCCCTGGCTGAGCCTCTCAAGTGTTGGAACTACAGAGTTACACCATTATCCTTGCCCCCACCCCCCCTTTTTTTTTTGTCAGTCCTGGGGCTTGAACTCTGGGCCTGAGCTTCTTTTTGCTCAAATCTAGCACTCTACCACTTGAGCCACAGTGCCACTTCTGGCTTTTTCTGTGTATATGGTACTGAGGAATAGAACTCAGGGCTTCATGCATACTAGGCAAGCACTCTACCACTAAGCCACATTCTCAGCCCTCCTCCCTCCTCCCCAAGCTGGTCTTATTTTATATTCTGATTCTGTACTTGCCAGCCCATACTTGTCCTGACTCCAATTAATCATGTGTTAAGAGACTTAATCTTTAAGTATAACAGTGTTGGGAGGTGAGCTTTATTGGAGGTGTTTAGTTCATAAAGGTTCTGCCTTCATAAATGAGTTAATACCAGTTATAAAAAGGCTTAAGATTTGAGTTTGATCTCTTGCTCTTCCATCTTTCACCATAGGATGACACAGCAGGATGGGCCTGGCTAGATATAGGCCTATGGACTTTGGACTTTCCAAACCTCTAGAACTATAAAAAAATAAATCTCTGTTCATCACCTACCAGTTTCAGGCATTCTGTAATAGCAGCACATGCCAAACTGTGTAAATCTCCTTATTCTTCTATTCAGAATTCAACCACCTCTTCAATTCTTGCCTAATGTCACCTTCCATAAGGTTCTGCCCCTCAAGTTCCCAATTCTGTAGTGTTTCAGGACCACAGCTCCTTTGCCTTGAACTCTTTCTTTCTTTCTTTTTTTTTTGGTCAGTCGTGGGGCTTGAACTCTGGGCCTGGGCACTGTCCCTTAGCACTTCAGCTCAAGGCTAGCACTCTACCACTTGAGCCACAGTACCACTTCTGGCCTTTCCTGCTTACGTGGTGCTGAGAAATCAAAACCAGAGCCTCTTGCATGCAAGGGAAGTACTCTACCACTGAGCCACCTTTCCAGCCCTGTGCCTTGAACTTTTGAAAAGTACCTTCAAGGTCAGACTTTATTTGGGGGCCTGCCTAGTTTCCTGAGGTCAAAAGGGCTGCAGTCAGTAATCTTCAGTTTTGGTGTAGACTACACAGTGTTTCTCTGAGTTGTCACAATGCCAGCAGATATTTTCAGTCATTTATAATTTGGTACACAGGTCACTGGGCCTTTCCTGAGGGTAAAACCAAGGACAAGAGGATATAAAAGTAGGAGCAGAATTTATATAAGGCTCAAATAAGGGGCTGGGAATGTGGCTTAGTGGTAGAGTGTTTGCCTAGCATGCATGAGGCCCTGGATTCAATTCCTGAGTACCACATAAACAACAACAAAAAAATACATATACACACATACAAATTCTCAAATAAGGGGCTTTGGTTTTCATTTCTTTCTTTTTTAAAGCCTCAGACGCTGAGCTCTAACGAGATTTCTACCTCTATGGACTGAGGGCAGAAATAGAGGTTAATTGCTCTTTACTAGAAGCACTAATATACACATAGCATTTACCATCTGCAAAACACTGATTGCATGTTGCCCAATGTCCTGACCCAGGTGCTTTAATCCTTGCTCTTGCTATAGAATGAACCCAGTATGAGTTCTACCTCAAGGCATTTTCTCCCTTAAATGAAAGGCATCAAAGGAGGACTGTTGCCCAAGCCTGCCAAGAGGGAAAAAAAAAAACTATGAAACTATTTTTCTGCAGAGCAACTGGATCCAGTATCTTATGTATTTTTTCAAGTCTGTATCTAGAGACAGGATAGAAATCTATAACGAAGCATCAAATGCAAAGTCAGAGGACATGGACTTTGGTCTCCAGCAAGCTGTGGCTGAAAGTGTTTTGAGGGGAAGAGTGGAGGAGTGAGGTAAGAAAGATCAAGGAAAGAGCCCTGTTGAATTTCCTCTCTCCCATAGAGAGGTTTGACCCTGGGAGACTTCATCTGGGAGTTGTGAACATGAGGCTGGCCTCAGGTAAACCTGGGCATCTGCTTTTCTTGGAAAGAACTCAGTCCAGTCCCTAAGGATATTTTTGCTTCATACAGGGATCCTGTATGTAATAGACTTTTCAGGCTACCATGGGATGATCTAGGCTGAAAATGGCCAAGTGCCTTGGACAGGGAAAGGAGAGGGAGAGGGAGACAGAGAGGAGGGAGGAGGGAGAGAGGGAGGAGGGGAAGGAGGGAGGGAGGGAGAGAGAAAGTTGGCAATGAGATATTGGTCCCAGACAAGTATCTCAGATTATGTCATCTCTGTCTTTGTCTTCCTGGGGCAAGTTTTTACTGGGGGTCGGTTTCAATCTTTAGGGTAAAATGTTAGGAATCAGCGGGAATCAGAGCTCTGGGGAGAGACACATTTCCTTTCCCTGACTGTGGGCCACAGCAATAGGAGCTTTGATGTGGTGGTTTAAGGACTCCCCCACTTGGCACTGGGTGGCTTTTTGAGGCGCCAGCGACAGCTTCTACCCACATCCTTGAAAGAGTGACTGTCTAGATTGGTTTTTTTTATTTGTGATCCAGGGGGAACTCGAATCCAGACTCCGCGCTCACGTGTGTTATACACTTTCCCAACACTCCTTAGGTTTCTTATCGAATCTTATATACCCCCCCTCCCTTACCTCCCCCCACCTCCCCCCCATTCTGTCCAGAGCCCACGTCTGGCAGGAAGGACCCTGATTTCCGGGCCTCCTGCCCGAGCCCGCATCCCACACCCTAGCGCACCTTGATCGTGTCCAGAGGGTGCCCCACGAACACCAGGCACACGCCGCCAAAGCCGCCGGCCAACAGGTTCTTGAGCGGGCTGATGGGTTTCGGCTCCTTTGCCATGGTCTGTCGTTTTGACAGTCGGCCTGTCAGTTCCCGGGCGGTCTTGCTCGGGTGCCCAGCAGCACCTCTGGCACCGCCGACCTTTCGCCTACTTTAGGGTAGGCGGGGCCATAAGCCCGGGGCAGGTCGGGAGGAGGGACCTAGTGGTCCGCCCAGCCCGGGCTTCCGCCGCGGGAGCCGCTTCCGGCCTCGGCCCCGCCCCGATGGGCGTGGCCAGCCATCCCTCCCTGTGAGGGCGGGGCTCGCATGTGCCAGGGCCTGAGGATTGAAGTCCTCCTCCTGCGCCAGGAGATCATCTTGCAGTTTAAATGTTTCTCTCTTGGGGTTTCCTACGCTCCCGTGCACTCCACAGAGGTCAGTCGCACCCCGTTGTCTCCCAGGCGCCTTTCTAAGTGCTGTAGGCTCACTTTGGAAATACAGCTCATAGACCATAACTATGATACATGAAAAAAAGAAAATGCAGTGTATGAAATAGTAACTGCTCTGAAGAAAAAGAACTGGAGAGTATGTGCAACAAATGATTTGCAATTTTAATTTCGTGAATGGGAGAATCTATTAAGATGCACTGTATGGGAGGTCTGAGGTGAAATAGTAACTCCCATAAATGGGAAAGAAGATGAGTTTTTTTTTTTTGCCAGTCCTGAGGCTTGAACTCAGGGGCCTGGGCACTGCACTGTCCCTGAGCATCTTTTGCTCAAGGCTAGTTCTCTACCACTCGAGCCACAACACCACTTCTGGCTTTTTCTGTGTATGTGGTACATGCTTTATGCATACTAGGCAAGCACTCTACCACAAAGCCACATTCCCAGCCCCAGGATGAGGAATCTATTAGGTACAGGAAATATTAATGGTTTTATTATAAATTTTAATAGAACCCTTATTTTTTGATATTTGGGATAATGCACATAATAGCACCAATGTTCCAAAGTACACATATTATGCATATCTTTATTTTTCCTGTACTGGAATTTGAATTCAAGGACTTGTACTTACTCAGGTTGCTTGGTTTGGACTTTACCACTTGAGCTATTCCTTCAGCACTTACTGTTTTGTGTTTTTTGTTTTTGTAAGAGACACATACTTTCCTGCCTGGGCTGGGTATGAACCGTGATCCTTACATCTCAGCCTCCTGAGTAGCTAGGATTAGAGGCATGAGCCACTAGCACCTGACTCTTCAGCCCAGTTTACTGTCAGTTATTTTGGAGATGGAGTCTCACCGGTTTTTCTGCCCAGGCTGACTTTGAACTGTGATCTCAGCCCCTGGAGCAGCTAGGATTACAGGCATGAGTCTTACAGGCATGAACCACAGACATTTAGCCTCATTCTGTATTTCACAGGTGCAAAATTAATCTTCAGAAAGACTATTTCTCTTGACCCTGGAGTGGACTTAGTACCACTGATCTAAAGTAAGAGATATAATTTTATTTGCAGAAAATGTATCTTGGGTTCTTTCTGAGCATCATCATAATTTTGTTAAGATAAACCAAACAAATACACTGGAGTATAGGAGGATTTTGTGTTACTAATACACAAAACTCACAGCCATACCATAGGTTACTCATTACTTTTTTTTTGGGGGGGGGTTGGTCATGGGGGCTGAACTCTGGGCCTGGTCGCTGTCCTTCAGCTCTTTCAGCTCAGGGCTAGCGCCCTTCCACTTGAGCCACAGCGCCACTTCCGGCTTTTTTTCTGCTTATGTGGTGCTGAGGAATCGAACCCAGGGCCTCATGCATGCAAGGTAAGCAACTCTACCACTGAGCCAACTTTCCAGCCCAACTATCACTTTTCACTCCAAGTTAATTAGGGAGTTTTCAGTATTTGATTAGACTGGAAGCCACGTATAATTTTGCAAGAACTACTCGAGAGCCCGTTGCACAGATGCCTCGTGTATACACAACTTGAGCATGGGTAGGAATTGCACAGACTAGGAGGTTCACCAGCTTCTCTGGTATTTCCACGGTGGAGGGCACTAAACTTGCACCTGAACTATCCCCCCAACACCTGACGATCGGTCCTAGAACCTACCGAAATCCAATGGGCAGTTCATATGTTGTGACCAGAAACGAGAGCTGCAGAAGCAGTTAAGGCACAATCTTATATGGTTGAGGGTCACGGGCCATGTCAGGGGAAGCCAAAGCCTGTTGCCATCTTGAGGTCCTTGGGGCCACTTGGCAACTTACTCCGAAAAGTAGGTTAAGATTCTCCGGTTCCGGTGCCCCTCCGACCAAATGGTTGCTAGGAAACCATGGTCCTTTATCCACTCCACGGATTCCTTGGATGTCTCCTCTGTGCCTCAGAATCGAGTATAAACACCGGAGAGGAACCGATCACTCACACTCTCACACACACAGAGGTTACACCTATTTCAGGCTCCCTGTAATCCTAGCTACTCAGGGAGGCTTGAGATCGGAGGATCGCGGTTGGAAGCCAGCTTGGGGAAAAAGAAAAGAAAAAAAAAAAAAAAAGAAGATTCATCTCCAATTTAAGCACCCCCCCCCCCTTCCCTTAAAATGCCAGAAGTCGGGTTGTGGCTCAAGCCTGGGGGGCAGGGGGCGGGAGGAGGGGAAGCTCACCCAATGGTTGGAGGCGAGGCTCAGGTGGTAGAGAATCAGCCAATGAGCGAAAGCCTCAAGAGTCCCAGCCCAAATAACAATTTAAAAAAAGCTCAGCAGACCCCGAGTTCAAGTCCCAGGATTGGCACCCGCTCCACTCCCCCCCCCACCTCAAAAACTGATAGGGTGGTTATTTTGCGGGCGCTGGTGAACGAATGCAGCAACAGAGGTCCACATCATTGCTTCATCAGCCTCGGCTCCCTCCCCGTTGCTCTCCGCTGGGGCGGACACGGCCGCACTCCCCGGAGGAAGGGAAACTGAGTCCCGGCCGAGCAGCCGCTAGCTCCCAGGCGTCCTCCTCCGGACCCAGGAGCTGGTTTAACGACCCGGGGCGACCGCGAGCCGACCCCGGCCGGAAGTGACGTCGAGGTCCCGAGCACTTCCGGGAGCAGCGGGGGGGGGGGACGGGGCTCCGTCGGGAGGAAGCAGCGCGGGGGCCCGCACCGGCGTCCGCCGAGCCGCCTGCGCCGTCGCCCGCTGTAGCCCTTCCCCGCCCTTCCCCACGCGTCCCCCCCTCCCCTCCCGCTTCACCCCCTCCCCCTCCCCATCCGACTTGGGTCGCCTGACCGGCCTCACCTTGGTCTGGTTCACCGGGGCTGTGCGGCCTGGGGGGCCGCGGCTCCCGGTAAGTGTGCGGAGCGAGTCCGGGGCCTTGTTTACCCTGACTGGCCGGTGGGGGTGGGGGGG